GGGTTGGTTGCAAGCTGTACCTCCCATTATACAAGCTTGGATGTGTGAAATTAATAATATTCTGCTCTATAAGAAAAATATCTATATTAACAGAGGCTGCCCGAACAATTCCTATAAAATTTGGGATAGTTGTTAACAGGCTAATACCATGTACCTCTTGAAGTGTATACAGTGGATATAAAAAGTCTACACAGCCCTATTAAAATGTTAGGTTTCTGTGATGTAAAAAATGAGACAAAGATTAATAATTTCAGAACTTTTTCCACCTTTTTAATATGAACTATAAACTGCACAACTCAATTGAAAAACAAACTGAAATCGTTTAGGGGGGGGGGGGGGAGTAAACATAAAAAAAAAAAAAATAATGTGGTTGGATAAGTGTGCACACCCTCTTATAACTGGGGATATAGCTGTGTTCAGAATTAAACAATCACATTCAAAATCATGTTAAATAGAAGTTGGTGACACCTGTCATTATTTAAAGTGCCTCTGATTATCCCCAACTAAAGTTCAGCTGTTCTAGTAGGTCTTTCCTGACATTTTCACAGTCGCATCCTACAGCAAAAGCCATGGTCACATTAATAAAAGGTATCAGTCAGGAGAAGGATACAAAGAATTTCCAAGGCATTAGATATACCATGAAACACAGTGAAGACAGTCATCAAGTGGAGAAAACATGGCACAACAGTGACATTACCAAGACATTACGTCCGTCCAAAATTGATGAAAAGACGAGAAGAAAACTGGTCTGCGAGGCTGCCAAGAGGTCTACAGAAACATTAAAGGAGCTGCAGGAATATCTGGCAAGTACTGGCTGTGTTGTACATGTGACAACAATCTCCTGTATTCTTCATATGTCTGGGCTATGGAGTAGAGTGGCAAGACAGAAGCCATTTCTTACGAAGAAAAACATCCAAGCCCAACTAAATTTTACAAAAACACATCTGAAGTCTCCCAAAATCATGTTATGGTCTGATGAAACCAAGGTTGAACTTTTTGGCCATAATTCCAAAAGATTTGGTTGGCGCAAAAACACTGCACATCACCAAAAGAACGCCATACCCACAGTGAAGCATGGTGGTGGCAGCATCATGCTTTGGGGCTGTTTTTCTTGAGCTGGAGCTGGGGCCTTAGGCAAGGTATTTGGAATTATGAACAATTCCAAATACCAGTCAATATTGGCACAAAACCTTCAGGCTTCTGCTAGAAAGCTGAACATGAAGAGAAATGTCATCTTTCAGCATGACAACGACCCAAAGCATACATCCAAATCAACAAAGGAATGGCTTCACCAGAAGAAGATTAAAGTTTTGGAATGGACCAGCCAGAGCCCAGATCTGAATCCGATCGAAAATCTGTGATCGAAAATCTGTGAGGTGATCTGAAGAGGGCTGTGCACAGGAGATGCCCTCGCAATCTGACAGATTTTGGAGTGTTTTTGCAAGGAAGAGTGGGCAAATATTGCCAAGTCAAGATGTGCCATGCTGATAGACTCATACCCAAAAAAACTGAGTGCTGGAATCACATCAAAAGGTGATTGAACAAAGTATTCGTTTAAGGGTGTGCACACTTTTGCGACCATATAATTTTAGTTTATTTTTACTTCCCTCCACCTAAAAGATTTCAGTTTTTTGTTCAACGGAGCAGTTTATAGGTCACATTAAAGGTGGAAAAAGTTTTGAAATGATTTTTATTTGTCTCATTTTTTTTACATCACAGAAACCTGACATTTTAATAGGAGTGTATAGACATTTTATATCCACTGTATGTTGCTTTACTACTTTTCAATGTGTTGTAGAATTTCCTGTGAAGGTATCTATGATGACTCCACTATTCTTTTTTTGCATTTGAGGTCTCATATGTGTATCATTCACATTATATTATTGTGTATCTTCATCATTATTGTGGATCTATGTCTACTTCATATGTACTTATTGTTACTGCGACAGAAGCTACCATGCCCTATTTGTGGTTTGTTTTTTTTTTGTACTACTTTTTTTTTTTTTTTTTTTGTCAAACCTGGATTCTTTGATTAAAAAAAAAAAAAAAAAAATCCATCCTGCTTTACAATTGCTGGTTTTAATTGCTTGGCTCTTGAAACCAGTGTCTTGAGAGACAGAGGTGTTCATGGAAGGCGATTCCACACAAGTTTACCATAAGTCATTTTTTTTTTTTTTTTTGGCCTAAATAATTTCTTTGTTCCATCTCAACCAGGATATTGTGTTACCTTACTTCTGTCATGAACCTTGGACTCTGGAAGGCAAAGCTTTTCATACTTTGGATGTGGTTCATGCATTAACATTTCACCTAAGGTCCCCAGCTTCGATATGACAATCTTTTTTGTCCTTTCTGATGGCCCTAGGAAAGGTCACAAATCTTTAAAATCTACTATTTCTAGATGGATTCATCAGCTTATTTCTCATGCTTATGGCCCTAAAGAAAATGTCACCTGTTTTCACTTTGTCTTCAGTTCATACCTTTTACTAGGTTTTACGAGACAGATGCTCAGGTTTCTGTTGATCCAATCAGTCGTGAGAAGGATCTTGCAGGCGACTGTGTGAGGTTCTAATCTGTGTTAGTTTTGGTTTTTCGGACCTGTTGGCTTGTTGTTATATTGCCCACCTCTCATATTCAGTGCTTTGGGACTTCCCTATCATAGTAGATATGAACATGTCCTGTGAGGTATAATAGAGAAACATTTTTGCCTTTTCTGTAAAATCCTTTTTCTCTTTCCTTCATTGAAGGATACAGCCATACTTCATGATGGATGGGTTTGATTTTGCCACCTACAGGAGCAGGACGCTAGACACAACTAAACTAAAAGCACTCCCAGGGGGCAGCCCTCTGGAGGTGACCAAACCTCCCATCTGCACAAAAGGAATTCAGTTATTTCCAAGTGTCTCAGGAGTTAGGGCATTGAACTTTCTAGCGCCTGGTTTTTGCCATATTTTTGCAGATTTTTTTATTTTACTTTGGAGTTCATAGTTCAAGTCAATTTATTTTTCCCGTCGATGGATTTTAGTTCCTGTTATGAATGGCTGTAGGAAAGGTCTTATGGCTTTGTCTTCCACTATTCTCCTGGTGGATTCATCAAACTATTGTACAGGCTTAGTGGAGAACCTTAATTTTCAGTCTCTGTGCATTCTACCCAGGGTGCTGAGTACGTCCTGGGCTTTTGATTAAGTTTGCAAAGTGGCTACTTGACCATTTTTTCCCAATTTCATAAAGTTCTATAAGGTTGACGTAGCTATATATGAGGACGCTGTACGGCACTGGTGGCAGTATGTGTTATGTGTTTTTTTGTTTTTTTTTTTTTTCATTTTCCCCAAAAAATGACAAAGTTACAAACGTCAAAAAACTCCATGCCGCTTACCAAATACCTTAGACTGCCTGCTTTCCAAAAAGGGGTCATTTGGGGGGTATTTGTACTGTCTTGACATTTTAGGGCCTCAAGAAATGAGATAGGCCGACAGTACATCAGGACTGATCAATTTTCAGATCTACAGCCCTGGCCTAAAATTTTGAGAATTCACAAATATTAGTATGTGGTATACTGAAGTATAATTACAAGCATTTCATACGTGTCAAAGGCTTTTATTGACAATTACATTAAGTTTTGTGCAGAGAGTCAATATTTGCAGTTTTGACCCTTCTTTTTCAAGACCTCTGCAATTCGCTGTGGCGTGCTGTCAATTAACTTTTGGGCCACATCCTGACTGATGGCAACCCATTCTTACATAATTCATGCTTGGAGTTTGTCAGAATTTGTGGGGTTCTTTTGTTCACCTACCTCTTGATGATTGACCCCAAGTTCTCAATAAGATTAAGGTCTTGGGAGTTTCCTGGCCATGGACCCAAAATTTCGATGTTTTGTTCCTCAAGCCACTTAGTTATCACTTTTGCCTTATGGCAATGTGCTGTTCATCATCAAACTGTAATTGGATGGTTTGGAGAAGTTTCTCTCAGAGTATGTTTTTGTACCATTCTTTATTCATTGCTATGTTCTTAGGCAAAATTGTGTGAGTGAGCCCACTCACTTGGCTGAGAAGCAACCCCACACATGAATAGTTACAGGATGCTTTCCTGTTGGCATGACACAGGATTGATATTGACGCTCATCTTTTCTTCTCCGGACAAGGTTTTTTCCGGTAGCCCCTAAGAATCGGAAAGGGGATTCATTAGAGAAAATTACTTTACCCCAGTCCTCAGCAGATGAATCCTTGTACATTTTGCAGAATATCAGTCTGTTCCTGATGTTTTTCCCAGAAATTAAATTTGACGAAAATTAGATTTTTTTAAAAAATTTTACTGGACATGTTTAATAGCAAAAAGTCAAAATATATTGTTTTTTTTTCTCAAAATTGTCAGCCTTTTTTTTCATAGCACAAAAAAATAAAAACCGCACAGGTGATCAAATACCGCTGAAAGAAAGCTCAATTCGTGGGGAAAAAAGGATGTAAATTTCCTTTGGGTGCATCATTGCATGACCCGCGCGCAATTGTCAGTTAAAATAACATAGCGCCGTAATGCAAAAAATGGCCTGGTCTGGAAAGGGGGTAAATCCTCAGGAGTGCAAGTGGTTAAAGCATGACTAGTAAAGTGTAAACAAACTGCAAGCATGCAGTGCATTGCCTTTGCACTGTTATGAATGAACTACTGCGCCAGCTAATCCGTATTACCAAAGACCTGATGTCCAGAAGAAAAGAAGAGAGAAAAGGTGTTAGTCGTGGCAAGGGACCTTACATGCTTGAATTCGCTGGAGCAGCGGTGAGTATCTGTGGCTTTAGTTCCGCCTTAAAGTAGATGCCTGACCAAAAGTGTCATAATTCTTCTGGGAAGGAACACATGTGAATTCACTGTCAAGAGCTAATACAGTGATTTCCTTAGAGGGGTTAAAAAAATATATATGTACTTAACATGGTAATGCATGTCTGAGGTGTAAGTCTGTGGAATAATTTTCTTTATCTTGCAGTAGAAATAACACTCTTACTTGTCTACAGATAAAGGCTTGCATGTGGAAGTGCGCGTAAACAAAGAGTGGTTCACAGGGCGTGTGACTGCTGTAGAATCTGGAAAACTGGGTGTTCGCTGGAAGGTGAAGTTTGACTATGTACCCACAGACACAACTCCACGTGATCGATGGTAATGTTTCCTGCATACCATATAAGTTTGTGAATGTGTGGATGACAAGCTGCTCGTGTTTTTGTTAAAACAGTCCAAAATATATAAATTACAAGCTCAATTATAGAAAGAAGCTTTTTTTTCCCAATACTTGCAGAATTATGTGATCACAAGCCAGAATTCTTACTTATCTAAGTAGCAAATAAAGTAAAAGCTCCAAGCAGTGCTTCTGTTTCACAGACATCTTAATCCACAAATACATTTTATTTTTACAGAAAAAGCTTATATTCTGTAGGATTAACAGTAAAAGTGTAATTACATTGCTGCGGATACTACAGCTAAGTACTGAAGCAAAGAAAATCATGACTCTTTTGATGCTTTTAATAATGAGAATTTAATAGAAAATTCTAATGTCAAAGTGTCTGCTGCACTAGTTTCTCATGATACATTTACTTAAGCTTTGTTGTGTTTTTTTTATTAATATATCCTGGGTTGTAATATACAACCTCATAGTTAGAAAAAAATATACTACTCTAATCAAAAGTGCCACCTATTTGGCAATGTTTTACTGTCCAGTGCAAGCACTATTTTTTGCCATAGAGGTTGATGGCTGCCTGCAGACATACTGGTCACAGTCCATTGTTTTCTGTAGTACACCTGGCACATATGGAGGTAGAAAGAGTGTGTATAAAAATTGGGACAATAGTCACATAGGTCAGCATGGGCTGGGTCTTATGCTGATTGACATAGAGATAGATAGATATAGACATTTATATATAGATATACACACACTTTCACACTATATTGCCAAAAGTATTGGGACTGCCTTTACATGCACATGTACAGTTGCAAGAAAAAGTATGTGAACCCCTTGGGATTATGTGGATTTTTGCATGAATTGGGTATAAAATGTGCTCTGAACGTCATCTAAGTCACAACAATAGAAGAACACAGTCTGCTGAACATAATACTACACAAACATTAGATGTTGCCATGGTTTAATTGCACATAACATGTAAACATTTCACAGTGCAGGAGGAAAAAGTATGTGAACCTTTGGACTTAATAACTGGTTGACCCTCTTTTGGCAGCAATAACCTCAACCAAACGTTTCCTGTAGTTGCAGATCAGACCTGCACAACAATCTGGAGTAATATTGGACCACTCCTCTTCACAAAACTGTTTCAATGTAGCAATATTCTTGGGATGTCTGGTGTGAATCGCTCTCTTAAGGTCATGCCACAGCATTTCAATCGGGTTGAGGTCAGGACTCTGACTGGGCCACTCCAGAAGGCGTATTCTGTGCTGTTGCAGCCATTGTTTTGTTGAATTACTTGTATGCTTTGGGTCATTGTCCTTGCATCACCCATTCTCTGCGGAGCTTCAGTTAGCGGACACAGATGGTCGTATGTTTTCCTGCAAAATGTCTTGATAAACTCTGGAATTTATTTTCCCATCAATGACAACAATCCGTCCAGGCCCTGAGGCAGCAAAGCAGCCCCAAACCATGATGCTCCCTCCGCCATGTTTTACAGTGGGGATGAGGTTTTGATATTGGTGTGCTGTGCCTTTTTTTCTCCACACATAGTGTTGTGTGTTCTTCCCAAACAACTCAATCTTGGTTTCATCTGTCCACAGTATATTTTGCCAGTAGTGCTGTGGAACATCCAGGTGCTCTTTTGCAAACTTCAAACGTGCTGCAATATTCTCTTTGGACAGCAATGGCTTCCTCCGTGGGGTGTCCTCCCATGTATTCCATTCTTGTTTAATGTTTTCCTTATTGTAGATGTGTCAACAAAAATGTTAGCATGTGCCAGAGATTTCTGTAGGTCTTTAGCTGACACTCTAGGATTCTTCTTTACCTCATGCAGCATTCTGCGCTGTGCTCTTGCAGTCATTTTTACAGGACGACCACGCCTAGGGAGAGTAGCAACAGTGCTAAACTTTCTCCATTTGTAGACAGTCTGTCTTACCGTGGACACAAGAACATCAAGGCTTTTGGAGATACTTTTGTAACCCTTTCCAGCTTCATGCAAGTCAACAATTCTTGATCGTAGGTCTTCTGAGAGCTCTTTTCTGCGAGGCATGGTTCACATCAGACAGTGCTTCTTGAAACCAGTAAACCCAAAACAGGTGTGTGTTTTTTAAGGGCAGGACAGCTGTCAGCAACACATCCAATATCATCACACTGATTGGAGTCAAGGTTGGCTCACTCCTGGCTCCAATTAGCTCTGGGAGAAGTCATTAAGCTAGGGCCTCACATACTTTTTCCTCCCTGCACTGTGAATGTTTACATGTTATGTACAATTAAACCATGGCAACATCTAATGTTTGTGTAGTATTATGTTCAGCAGACTGTGTTCTTTCTATTGTTGTGACTTAGATGACGTTCAGAGCACATTTTATGCCCAATTCATGCAAAACTCCACGTAATCCCAAGGGGTTCACATACTTTTTCTTGCAACTGTATGTATATGGCATCCCAGTCTTAGTCCATAGGGTTCAATATTGAGTTGTCCCGCCCTTTGCAGCTATAACAGCTTCAACTCTTCTGGGAAGGCTGTCCACAAGGTTTAGGAGTGTGTCTATGGGAATGTTTGACCATTCTTCCAGAAGGGCATTTGTGAGGTCAGGCACTGATATCAGACGAGAAGGCCTGGCTCACAGTCTCCGCTCTAATTTATCCCAAAGGTGTTCTGCACAGGACTCTGCGCAGGCCAGTCAAGTTTCTCCACCCCAAACTCACTCATCCATGTCTTTATGGACCTTGCTTTGTGCACTGGTGCGCAGTCATGTTGGAACAGGAAGGGGCCATCCCCAAACTGTACCCACAAAGTTCAGAGTATGAAATTGTCCAAAATGACTTGGTATACTGATGCCTTAAGAGTTCCATTAAAGGGAAATCTTAAGGCATCAGTATACCAAGGGGCCAAGGCCAGCCCCTGAAAAACAACCCCACACCATAATCCCCCTCCCACCAACCTGGCAAAACACACACACGCACGCATATAAGCATGCAGACTGCTTCTACAAACATTTGTGAAAGACCTTTTAAACTGAACCATTCCTCAATTGACTCAGTTAGGCCATCATTGATGGGTACATCCCACCTTAGCCTTCTTGGAACTATTTGTTTCTTAATGGATCTCTCATGCGTGGCTATATCCCGCCACATGTTAATTTTTTTTTTCTCCATTGTGTGCCCTCATTTTCTAAATGTGCCTTCTAAATCTGTGCTGTTTCTTTTGCGTGGAATACTTGCGTGGAATACTTCATCTAAATTTATAGCAGCAATTATGGATATTTTTTCTTATGTTGAAAATAGATCTAAGAGTGTATGTGAATCAATAAACGCAGAAATAATAAGCTAAAAACTCCAGCACAATTATGTACCAATCTCCCTTCTAGTGCTTTACCTTTGTGTACTGCTGCTGACACTTTGGGGTTGATTTTCTAAAGGTAAACATTCTGTGCACTGCAAATGCAGTTGCTTTAGATCCAAAGTGAAGCTCTGAAATGAGGCGAAGCTCTGCTAATTTTTCATCCAGTCATGTGCAAGCAAAAATGCAATTTTTTTTATTTTCCTTTATGGTCTCCGCAGATCTAGAACATTTGCACTTTCAGTGCACTTGCAGTGCACAGCCTATTTGCCTTTAGTAAATCAACCCCTTTGTGTTCCCGCATATGTCGAAAAATGTTTCAATAGGTAAACAGAGCCACACAGTACACTTGAGCTCTGGTTCACACACATGTGAATTCGGATGCATTTTGAACACCAATTCACATGACAGGTTAATTAACGGTTTTCTGCGGAGGCCATTCACTTACATGTGGTCCAGCAGCAGTGTAATTTTGAAAGGGTGCTGTGTGATTTTCAGTGCGGTGCAGCCTTGCACTTTACAATTTGCATCAGAATTGCACCTGCATCGCTGAACAAAATCTTACTGAAAACGGCCATCAAAATCAACCCACACATAAGTGAACAAGGGCTTAGAATTATCAGTTGTGTTGTGCCGTAAATCAAATAAATCTTTTAAACGTAACACAAGAAAATAAACAAACGTATAACATGAGTCCTTAAATATGATCAGTCCACCATACTTGTCAGTGTTCCTATTTCCTCTATGCAATTTATTGAACGAGATACTGTGAATATAAACTGTTACATCTTCCGTGCAATCATGCTTCAATGTACACCATCTCAGTCCACATCCATCCTTGCCACTCCATAGGAAAATTGTCACCCAAGGCGCAAAAAGAGTAAACAGTCATAGCTCTCTCCACTTTCCCTTCAAGTGTTCATTAAAAAAATTATTAAAATACCACTCACATTAAAATGTGCACTATTCTGGTGCTCTTCAGATAAAAAGTAGTGTTTCCCCTTAAGATTCAGTGTCTCTGGTAACTTCTAGTTTTGTAGCATGACGTCATCGACTCCTCCCTACGTGTTACGTCACAGGTCACGTGACTTAGATAGGGGCTGAGTTGCTGGGATGCCGAGCCGCAATATATGCACCTCAATGTGTTTACATTAAAAAACGTTTGGAATAGTGCAAGATAATGTGGACTTAAGCCAATGACACCATGCTTTAAGGAAACCATTGATTGAGATACCAGGAAGCTGCTGAAAGGCAGACCAGTTGTGGCTATTCTGACCCCGGTTTAAAGGGGAAGTTGCATTGGACCTAAAATATTTTGTTCATATACAGGTGAAAGGTGAGGGTATTTGAATGTTGACAGGAATTGCACAGTGTATGCCAGACACTGGAACATAATTGCAGGGGAGGATGCAATCCAAGGTAAGGTTCACTAGGTGGTTCTTTAGGCCTGTAGAGCCCCCTTTTGGAGCCCTACTGTTACTTGTGGACCTGTTAGGTGTTTGCTGGGTTGCCCATCTGTCAGTTGGACTGCTTTTGGACATAATTCTATGTACCTAAATGACCATCCTTTATTTCTGAATGCATACTTCCCCCACCTTCTAAAATAATTAACAGGGTCACCTTTTATCACTTTGTATGTAGACAAAGGACACGTCCCTTCCACAGCCCAGTTACAGTATATGGACCACAAAATACTAATATGATTGGCTTTTCAAAGTCCAAATGCAATAATGTAGAGGCTGCAAAAAAACTTGGTGGAACATAAAACCTTTGGCAGTAGATGTACACATCACATCAAATAAAGGGACAATTGAGCCTGCATGAGGTACAAAGGGATTTGGTTTCAAACGAGGGACAGTCTCTCTAAATGAAAGACAGTTGGGAGCCATGCTTAATGTATGTTTGAGAAAATAGGATTGTTAGTACCATAAATTATTTTTCTTGAAGTACATTGAGGGACACAGGTCCCTTCCTCATTGTTCTTGCAATCCACTGCTTCTATTGCTTTGCTACAAAACTGAAGCATGATGGGAGGGGTTATACTAGGCTGTCCTTTCAACTTTGTTTTGCCAGTGTCTAATTCCTTGGATTACCCATCCTGTGTTCTTTAATATACTTCAAGAAAAAGATTGTACAGAAAGTCAAAAATCCTCTCTTTACTATTGTGGGTCATTAAAAAAAAATTTACATTTGCCACCAAATAAAGGCCCAATTTTGTCCAAAAAAAAGTTATAATACACAAACTTTAAAGATATGTAATGTATAGTTTTGCTAACACATGCAAAAGGTGCAAAACCTTTGTTATTAAGTGGTCTGCCTTTCACGTACATACGTGTAGAACACTTTGATTTGTCATTTGTAGGGTGGGGTAAAAAGGTAGTGATGATGTAAGACTCATGAGGCCACCATCACCAGAACATCAGACACCTGGTACACAGGAAGCTGAACCCTCTACCTCTGACAACAGCAGGATAGAACCTGACACAACAGAAGCTAGTGCTAGCCTTGCACCAGTGGAACAACTTGCACAGGTTTTAAGGTAAGTTTTAGGCGCTAAATGGCGCTGTGAAATTATTTTGATCCTCTGTAGAAATACATCTTTGGTTAACATTTCTCAAGAAAGTGTGTTGTACAGAAAAGGATTCTCAACAAAATATTAAAAATGAACATTTTATTTATGATTATATTCATTTGTCCAATTACTTTTGGTTCCTTGAAAAAGGGGGGATGGTTACTCTTAAGAGCTGTAATTCCTAAACCCTTCCTCCAATTTGGATGTACATACCCTCAAATTAAACCCGAGAGTGTGCACTTTCAGTCCATATACATTTATAGAACTATAGCATGAATATGTTTTGGTAAATACCTGAAAAAACTAAAATTGTGCCTGTGTCCAAATATATATGGACCTAACTGTACTTACCTGAGCCTGACCTCGATGCAGAGTTGTGCCCCAGAACAGCGGTCTCTCTGCTCACTCCCTCATCACAGGACAGGCAGTCAAAGCCTGTGAAGTGAGGTCAAGTTGCACTGTCTGTCTATAGATGCAGGGTGTGTAACTCTGGATTAAACCCGCACAAGTGCCCCTATAGGGAGCACCACCTTAAGAGGGCACTTGCTTAAGAGGTCTAGCCAGGAACACCAGCGGGAGACCCCAGAAGAGGATTGGTGCTGCTTTGTGCCAAAACCATTACACATAGCAGGTAAGTATGACATTTTTTATTTATTTTTAAAGAAGGTTTATAATCACTTTAATGTTCCTTTTCTGTAGTTACTTTATAGTATGTGGATACAAGAGACCTTACAATCTATTACAATATCATCTTGTATACAAGATACCAAAATCAATTTTATTCTAGAAAGAAAGCAAAAAATAAAATTGTTTAATAGATAAAACCCTGCGTTTTAGGGCTCGTTCACACCATGGTGTAGAAATCCGTTTTTCTGCATGTGTTCTACAAGAGCACAAAAAAAAAAACAATTGTTCTATATGTGTCCTGTTCACACCACAATACTAGTATCACGTGCAGATTTTTTCTGTGCAGGAATCTGCAACATGTACAAAATTAACTGAAGCTTACATGAAAACTGATGTATGGTGTGAACAAGGCCTTAGATGTACGGTAGCAGAATCTTTGTATAAAGTATGACTAAAGTTTTATTCTTTATTTTAAATGGTCCTGGGTAATTTTGGGAATAGCTGTGGTAATTTGTGCATGTATCCAGCGTGAACAATTTTTTTTTTTTTTTTTCAAATCAATCTGATAAGAGCTCGCCTTGTATGTATATATAATTTGTTGGCCTTCTCCATTCTTTAAACATATAGTGAAAAGAACTTTTCCAATAAAAGGCAATCAGTTGTTGGCATAGAAGAAATGCAGATGTAACAGTGTAACTGCTATACTCAAGGTTTATTGTGTCTGGGGGTATCTGGCAAAGATTTGCATTATAAGGGCTATAAAATATAAAGTAATTTATGATATAGCTGATGCAAATGAGATATGCTACATTTTGGTTGACATTTTCTTCTCTAATTCAGGAACTGCTTAAGATATTTCTTGCCACCCAATTTTCATATAACCAAGAATGAACTGAGCACAATGAGTGCCGAAGATCTTATAGCCTTTCCGTTGGTGAGTAAAAAAATATTTTTGCTTAAGCAGTAAGGCTACTTTCACACTGATCCGCCGAAAAAAATGTATAGGCGTTTTACCATGCTTTCTGAGCGTTTTTAAAAGGACACGTGACTTAAAAATGACACCAGAAACACTTCTCAGAGGTGTTTTTGAAGCGCTTTTCAGGAGTTTTCCATTTATTGCAATGAGAAGAGTCATTTTTGAGACTTTTTAACTCCCCAAACATGCCCCAAAGATACTGCAAGCGTGACAGCTCATGAGGAGAGAAATGCCGATAACCGGCATTTCCTTATTTACATGCGATCAGCTGTAATTGGGCACAACTGATCACATGACAGAGCCAACGTCTTTGGCTTTTTCCATTGATCGGTGATCCGCTGTGTCCGAGGGACACAGCGCCCCACCGATCGCCTTGCACGTGCGGTTAGAATGGGAGAACGTCATATGACGTCCTCCCAGAACGAGAGAATCGCCTTGCGCCCGTCATTTCCTTCTATGGCGGGCGGAAGGCGGTTAAATACTGAATTATTTTTTTTTTTTTTGGTTTTGTTGTAGTTTCAATTGGTATCGCAGTTGTTTTTGTGGCTGCTTGAGTAGTGCAAATTTTTGTTTGACCTAGTGCAGATATTGTTCTGTTATATATTGGAGTATTTGGGCCTTCTGGATATTATTCAGGCCAATGTCTTCTTTCCACAAGGAAAACTAACAAAACTACATTGGGTGTAGCAATTACATCCCATTGTTGTGGAGCTGCATGCAAGTATTAGGACTGATGGTTTCCACTTTCAGAGCAGTTCAGTATGTTTGTTCCACTCCAGAACTTTTTAACAGGACATTCTCACATTGTGGGACAAGTTGTCTTTGCCTGAAATAAGTAATTTGGTTACATTTCCGAACCAAGTTGTCATGGTGGCTTCTGTCCCTGGCATTGTTGGAGGTCTTTTTTTTTTTTTTCTCCCTTTTGATTGGTAGAATGTCAAAATGGATGCTGGGTTGGGGTCGAGTTCTGTGTGTGCCATCTCTCTGTTCATGGTTGTTGGTATCTGAGGGAATTAAAACCACTATTTGGCATTCTAGAGGTGCAGGTGAATGGTCTGTCATTACTTGATTAGAACCCGGCTTGTGTTTAGTTATCCAGTTGGGTACAGATCATGCCACAGCTGTGGCTTACATCAATCATCAGGGGGCACCAGGAGAGAACTGGCAGACAGAGATTTCCTCAGCAGAGGTTTAGACCTAGGGCAGGGGTTAAAATTTTGAGTCCAGACCTACTAGGCAGTCACAAAACTTACTCTCCACCAGTTGCCCCACCCAACCTTGCCCAGGTCCGCCCCCAACGACGCCCCCTTAAAGCTTATGAAATTACATTTTTCTTTAGAATAAAGGGTCCAAAATATAAAACTGTACACAGTAATGTATATCCCAGCTCCCCTGTACTCCATTATAGTGATATGACATGTATACAGTAATGTATATCCCAGCTCCCCTGTACTCCATTATAGTGATATGACATGTATACAGTAATGTATATCCCAGCTCCCCTGTACTCCATTATAGTGATATGACATGTATACAGTAATGTATATCCCCCCTCCCCTGTACTCCATTATAGTGATATGACATGTATACAGTAATGTATATCCCCCCTCCCCTGTACTCCATTATAGTGATATGACATGTATACAGTAATGTATATCCCCCCTCCCCTGTACTCCATTATAGTGATATGACATGTATACAGTAATGTATATCCCCCCTCCCCTGTACTCCATTATAGTGATATGACATGTATACAGTAATGTATATCCCAGCTCCCCTGTACTCCATTATAGTGATATGACATGTATACAGTAATGTATATCCCAGCTCCCCTGTACTCCATTATAGTGATATGACATGTATACAGTAATGTATATCCCCCCTCCCCTGTACTTCATTATAGTGATATGACATGTATACAGTAATGTATATCCCAGCTCCCCTGTACTCCATTATAGTGATATGACATGTATACAGTAATGTATATCCCAGCACACAGTTAACCCTTTGATCACCCCACATGTTAAGCCCTTGCTGCTCAGTGCCATTAGTACAGTGTCAGTGCTTTTTATTAGCACTGATCACTGTACTGGTGTCACTGGGGCTGTCTGACACCAAGTCAGTTCCCCCCAGTGTCAGAATGCCCGCCGCAGTCCTGTTATAAGTCACTGATCGCTGGCCATTACTAGTTAAAAAAAAAAATAAAAAAAATATTCCAGTGTATATATACTGCCATTTTGTAAATGCTATACCTTTCATGTACAGAAAATAATTTACACGTATTGGGATTTTTTTTTTTTTTTTTTTAACAAGCAAACTCTTTA